ATTTCTCTTGTTATTTTGCAAACAACATGTACTTGTATTTGACTTTAGTTCTTTTTGTCTTTGTGAACCTGCTAAAAATCTTTTTTTGGGGGGGGTGGTACGGAGGATTGAACTCAGAACCTTGCACCTGTGAGGCAGACCTGGCACCACTGAGCTAAATCCCCAGCCCTGCTAAAAATCTTCTGACATTTTGAAGACTAACATCCCTCATTAGAGCCAGTTTGACTGTAATAATACTTAGAAAAAAAGGGGTCTATTTGGTGACCACGGCCATTTTCCTACTTTTCATGTATTGGCATCCTGAGCAATTTCATCATGAATATGTGCATAACCTAGGACATTATACCAACACCTATCTGTATGCAGTGAGGTTCATATTCTGGATTATCTTTTTAAATCCATAGAGACTATGTGGTCCAGACACCAGTAAAATTTTGCAGGTAAAATGACCATTACAGTATATTATACCATTACATAAACAACTTCCTTTAAATGCTCACAGCTATGAAAGCCATGTGAGTTAACAAGGACTCACCTTTTTCCTCTGTCATGTGCTCTTTGCAGTGCAGTTGGCTTCCCTGGCCACGCTTTCCCACAGGCAGGGCTGTCTCTAGCTTCCACATGGCCTTGGCTTTCTGGTCCACACCTTGGACATGATCTGGCTGAAGATCCCCTGGCATCACCTTACAGTTCTGTCTCCACCCTGTACCAGGAAATCTCCTGTGCTGAAGATGGGTGGCGTGCCCAGGTTGCAGTGTAAACTAGGGCAGAGCTAGGTTGTCTGCACTGCATCCATGCCTGGACCCCACTACTGCTGTGTGGTGAACCAGGTCTCACCTGCTGGCAGAGATGACCCAGAGGTGTTCTGCATGTGGTCCGAATGTCCCCACCAGAATTGATGTTGGAACCTAGTTGTCATTGTAACAGCATTACAAGGTGGACCTTCAAGAGTCGATGAGGCCATGAGGCTCTAATGTGTTGGTGGCGATGTCATAGGGCTGGCTCCTGAGGAAGGGATGAGCCAGCAGGACTGTCCTGTCCTGTCTCACCTGCTCACCTGCCTGTCTGCCGTGCAGGATGCAGGGAGAGACCTGTGCCAGATGCAGTCTCCAGTGGATAGTTAAATTTTTCCCCTCTTTTCCCCCCTCCCTCCCTTCATTTTTTGTTTTGTTGTACTGCCCCTGGTTAGAGTATTCTAGAGAACGTCTTGATATACTACTTACCCCATTTCTAAATAGAGTAGTTGGCACACTTCATCCTTTTGTAAATCTAAATCAAACTCAACAGTCCAAAATGCAGCCAAAACATATTTCCTGGTTGAGGGCAGCTGTTCTCATTAGGCTTCTTTATCTAGCTTATCTTTCTTCTGTGCTGGCAACTGGCTCCCTTTCTGGGCAGTTTTCCACTTAGAAGAGTAATTTTATTTGTAGATATTATTGCATCAAGTAGAAAGCAAGTAAGAAATGGCGATCTTGATACTGGACAGCTGTCCAGGCTCACTGCTAAGGTGCTTTCTTCCCTCACCAACCCAGCACAGGTGATCCATTGAACACCTCAGCAGAGTCACAAGCCCGAGCCGGCACTGGGAATCTGAGCCGTGATGCACAGTCCAGTCCCACCCAGTCATGCTGGATTCAGGCCGAGACACACAGCAGCTGCCCTGGCTGCCTCTGCAGAGCACTACCTGCGCCTCCTTCTGCTTCCCATTCCCTGTGCTCCACAGGCCACCTGCTCTGTGCCCAAACTTCCTGCCTCTCCTAATCCAGCCTCTCTGTGGCCTCATGCCTCCCTTTCCCATGAAGAATGTGTCCTCTTGTCCTGTGCCTCCACCCCCATGTTGCTGTTACCTGTGGCCTTGGGGATAGTCCTCCTTCAGCAAAGCCCTCTGCTGTGCATCTTGCTCTGTTCCCAGCCCCGGCAGATCTGCTGCCTAGGTATCCATGCAGAGGGTTGGTTAACACCTGGCCTCACAGTTCCTCCGCATCACCTCTCATCACCTTCTCTTCTTCCCCTGCTTGCTAGGCTCCTGGACTTTCCTCTACCCATTCTCATCACTCGCATTCAGATCATGGGTTCTTCCCCTGGCTGTCACTAGTAGCATTAAGCAGCCCTTTCTCTTCCCTGCTGTCCACACCAGCAGTTTGGAACCTTCACAGGTCTCCTTATCTCCCTCCGGAGGTAGAGAGGATGCCTGGGGAGGAGGCTGCTCTCACTCCAGTGCATTCACCCACCCCTGTTGTCTCGAAAGAAGAGAGTCTCCTGGCTTGTGCCAGGTAATGGCACTCAGATGGCAGAGCACCTCTCTGCTCCTTCCTGATGGGGTGACTTTCACTCTGCATCCTCCTCTAACTCCCCACCTCCTCTTCCCATCATAGCCACACTCTTTGTAAGAGCTTTCCAAGAAGCTATTGGTAATTTTTGTCTACAGTGTCTGACTGCATGCTTCAGCAGACCATAATTAGAACTTCATCCATCCCTAATGGCCTTGACCATTTTGTTTCCCTTTTTGTGGTTAGCCCCTACATAACTTCTGCCCAGAATCCCTGCTGTGACAGATCACGGGTATTTTCAGCTTAATCTCTGAATCTACAACTCATCATTTTATCTCAACGTCAGTTCCTTCTCAAGGACCTTTATTTTATCTCAGTCTTGGTATCACAAACGGTAGGGTAGTAGTGGTGAGCCTATGGCATGCATGCTACATCTGACTATTTGTGTCATTGAAAGCTCTAAAAGGTTCACTGTCACTGTCCTAGGCCCCAGAAAGCAAGGAATCCTTTCCCACGTGACTCCATTCCACCTACACCATAATGCCAGTCCCAGCACTGACTTTCTCCCAGGAGATGTATGAACTGACTTCTCTCTAACCTCTGGGGATCTTAAAAACAAGAGTGCTGCTTCAGGGGAAGCTGAGAAGGCAGACCCATCTCACCACTAAATGTCCCCTGGGAAGACAGGTCCTGTATCTCATCACTGTCTCCTGAGAAAGCAGAGCTATCTCGTCCCTGAAGGTGACATCATTGGTCCTTGAAAACTCAGGACCATCCCTGGCATTAGTTGTAGAGCAAACTGTCCACACTGCTGTAGCCACTGCAGCCCTCTGCTGCCTGTGATGCCTTGGTACTATGGGCTCTAGCTCCTGTGATGTGGCTACTGCTGCCCTGTGGGGCCTGGGGTGTAGGTCACAGACGTCAGCCCAGGAGCATCACCTGAGGTTTCACCTGCAGTCCCCTCCAGCCTGGCACTGTGCTGCAGCCTAGAGGCCACCATCCTGGTTGATGTATGCCCTGCATGACTAGGAAGTCTGTCTTCCTTCATGCTATGCACTCTTCCTCAGTGTAAGCCTCAGCTCAGCCTCTGCCTGCCAGGGGGATCTGGGGATTCCAGTTTGGGGTTACTCTGAGCGTGGCTCCCACCAACATTCCTGTATAGCTCTGTGTGAACCTGAGTCTGGGATAAATGCCTGGGAGTTGTTGAGTTGTATGGTAGAAAAAATGCCCAGTTTCATACAAAACTGCCAAACCCAGAGCCACCTTTCACTTTGTGGCAAAATCTTCAGCAGTAGCTGGGTTTGTCCATTTGTCCTTCCACTTCTGTCAGGCTTTGCTTGGCGTGTCTCCATGGCTCTGTTTGGCGTGTGCATATTTAGGGCTCTATCTTATGAGTGCTAGCCTCGCCACACTGTTCTGCAGTCCAATTGCCTATAGCCATTTGGATGTCTTGTGGCATCACAGAGACTGAAGCCTCTGGGGCGGATGCAGTTTTAAGAAGTAGGAAGTAGGTCACCAGCAGCTCACTTGGCATCACTGCGGGAAAAGGCAGCCAGGGCAGGAAGCACTTGGTCTGCTGTGGAGAATGAGTGTGGAGGTGATGCTACCACATGTGCACACAAGGGAACTAGGAGTGCGGAGCTGGGCTTTATGGATGCAGAACACCAGGCAGCAGGGGCCAGCCGCGGAGGGTCAGGGCTGGCACCAGAGTAGGCAAGGGAGAGGGAACTGTGTGCTGCCTCCAGCTAAGCAGGACTAGAGTTCTCCACTAAAGGAAACCCTGAGGGCAGTGATTCTACTTCACAATTAATTCCAGCTTGGAAATGGTTATTCCCACTTTTTGGAAATGGTGTCCCGAAGTAAATGCACGACGACTGGCCAAGAAGAAATGAAGAACTCTATCCACATGGAGTCAGACAAATTGCACACTCAACGTGCCAGTCTGAACTTGGCCTGAGCCATCCTCCGCATAAGCTAGACAGGAGGGAATGGTGGCAGCCACACAGATCCATGAGGGCAGACAGACTCGTGCCTGTTTTGTTGTTGTTGTTGTTGTTGTTGTTGTTGTTGTTGTTGTTTTCTTTTGTTGTTGCTTTGGTATTTTAAAACAAGATTTCACTATGTAGTCCAAATTGGCCTTGCAGTCTTGGCGATCATCCTGCCTCAGCCTCTTGAGAGCTGAGGTTACAGACAGACATTTGCCACCATGTCCAGCTCACAACAACCTTGAGAAGAAAGAAGGGGGCTTCTCACTAAGCATGATACACAGCTGTAATGCCAGGACTCTAGGAGGCTAAAGCAGGAGGATTGCAAGTCCCAGCCCAGCCTTAGCAATTTAGTGACTTAGTGAGACCCTGTCTCAAATTTTAAAAAGAGGTGGGAATATAGCTCAGTGTGAAAGCCCTGAGTTCAATCCCCAGTAGCTAAGAAAAAGAAAAAAGTGGGCTTTTCAAAGTTAGCTAGGCTTATTCTTTGTACACTTGAAGTTTCTAGGTTAATTTTGCTTATAACTGAATCTGCATATTTCTTTGAATCATGGCTAGCAGGGACCAATTTTATTCATTACATGAATAGTTTTCAACCATCCAACTTCAAAAATAGCTTCAAAGAGTATAGCTTGGAAAACCACTGAATTAACACATGAGTGAAATATCAAAACTACACAAATGAGAAAAGGTAAGTCAATATGTTTTCACAAAATATTCAGCTACCTCTTATGTTAACAATAAGATTTCATTCAATGTTATGATCATAGTCCTTTGTGACTTTGTAAAGAATAAATTCATAGCACCTGTTTTAAAGTTACTTTTCATAGTTTCTCTTTGTCTTTTAGATTTCTTGTTTAAATTCTTGGTTATCGGAAATGCAGGAACTGGCAAATCTTGCTTACTTCATCAGTTCATTGAAAAAAAATGTAAGTGATGCCCAGCAGCCATTCGTTCACACCTGTCCACTGAGAATGTGCTCGAGCTCAGCTATACTTACAGGAAAACTCTTTTTTTTTTCAGGGAATAAGTCATTGCTTAAATAACTTTAAATGTTCATGTTCTTAAATTTTTAGGTACGCGATTGAATTTTTATTGAGTTAGCATTTCAGTTTAATAGTGGTTCAGTATACAGTCTTCCTGGTGCTACAAGATGATATAATGGTGGTGGGCCAGCAGAGGGGAGCCTAGGCAGGAGCTGTGTTTCCTGATGGAGCAACCAGACAAGCCCTAGGGTTCACTTCAGGTGACACATGGCCTGTGGCCACTGCCATCCCCTATCCTGGTTTGCTGGTGTGAGGCCAAGGAGTGAAAAAGGGCAACTGGTCCCGGGGTGAGGGGGCTCTGATCACAGGACCCTGGCTGCCACTGATGGGTGCACCCCAGGTAAATGAGGCTGGGTCTTTACTCCAAACTCTATGAGACCTCGGGACTGTGAGCTTAAAAGGCCCTTAGATAAAAGATGTTGTGATCCCAGGAGGAACTGTGGAGAATGACCTCCCAAAACAGATTAACTTGGCTTAATGAAAATGCACCTGAGGAATGTCATGGCACCTCAGTAAAAGAGATGAGACAGTATGGTCTTGGCAGAGGATGGGGACAAAAATAAAATTCTTATATTGTGCTGCCTCTGTTTCCATCAATGAAGAGTTAGCTGGGTCCCTTGCTCAATGACAGTGGGTTCAGTGTAGTCTATAGAATCAGTCTTCCTAGGCTAATTTTCTTTACAGGTTGCCAGTTCTCCACATTGCTCAAGCTCAAAAAATCATTCCCTAAGGCCACCAGGCAGGCCCTCCTAACCTTTCCCTCCTTTCACGATCCCTGGAGACCCCAAGTGTTCCCAGGAGTGACAAGGGCCACTTTATTTCTGTGGCTGGGTCACAACCAGGGTGTTCCTGGCCTTCAGTTACTGCTGAGGCTGTCACCCCTGCTCTGCCTGGCAGCCTCCCTCTAGCCCACTTCTCAGCCTAGTCTGCACACCTGTCCTCTAGGGCAGAGGCCCCAGTCCTGTTAGAACTGGGCCACACAGCAGGAGGCGAGTACCAGGGAGCAAGTGAAGCTTCCCCATGGCTCAAGGTACTGCCTGAGCTGCACCTACTGTCGCATCAGCAGGGGCGTTAGATCCTCGCAAGAGCTTGAGCCCTACTGTGAACTGCTCACTGCATACTCCTTTTAATCATCCGAAACCATCCACCATTACTAGCCCCATCTGTGGAAAAATCGTCTTCCGTGAAACCAGTCCCTGGTGCCAAAAATACTGAGGACTGCTGCTGTAGAGCACCTGTCCTCCAGAACAGTCGGGACAGTCACCAGCTCATTACTGACCAAGTGCCTGGCCTGTTGCTGGACACTGTGTCCTGCACTATGGTGTGTTGACAGTAGCCGTCACCATGTGAGCTCTCAGTAGCAGATATCTGGGTATCTGATTCGAGGTGGCCACTTCCTTCAAATGTACCATGGTTAGGGACTTGAAGAAAAAGCTTTATTGTCTCTGATAATAGGGACTATGTATATTTTACTTAAAACAGTGCTTTTTATCATTTGGTATGTTGGAGAAAGGAATAGCTAAGATAAACTGCGTTTTCAAATGACATAATCCTTCATTCTGATGTTACCTATTTAAATTTATAGCCCTGTTATGCTGATGTCCTAAAATTAAAAACGTTGTTCTTGTTTTTCTTTTTTAGTCAAAGATGATTCAAATCATACAATAGGAGTGGAATTTGGTTCAAAGATAATAAACGTTGGTGGTAAATATGTAAAGTTACAGATATGGGACACAGCAGGACAAGAACGATTCAGGTAGCTTTTCCTCTAACTTAATAAAAACATTTGAAAGAATTAATTGTATTTCTTTTTACACAATGTAGGGTCTCATTCCCCCCAAATCCTCCCCCTGCAGTGACTTCAGAAATTCCACTCTGGAAGCTCTTATTGATAAGACAGCTGAACCTCGCCTTAGCTGCATGCAGCACTGACCCTAAAGATCGCCATAGAGCCTCAGTGAGCCTTGGAACTTAGAGCCAGCTCACTGTCAGGAGGACACAGCACTGTGTGTCCATGGTCTGCTTTCAGACTGAAATGGAGGCAAAGTAATGGCACATTTTTCTGTATTTCCCTTCTAAGGAGAAATTCTTTAAAACTTCATATGGTGTTGGTTCTCTTTGTTTCCACTGACTAAAGCACATACTGATGAATGGCATACATCCCACAGACCGTTCTCTCCTCCACTCTGGTGACAGTGCACTCGCAGCTGTGCTCAGGATGACTTCAGGACATTGCTGATGCGATTGCATGGTTAGCCTCCTGCAACTACAAAATCAAGACAGGAGATCAACATCCTAAAAAGATCCAGGCCAGAGAGTGCTGTCAAAACACCACGATGACGCACAAACTCAGAAAAGCTTCAAGAGAGGAAAACAGTCACATGTTATATTGGAAATTTGAACTGCATTGGACCATCAACAGCAGCACTGGGAATGAAAAATACTGAAAACTCGGGAGGTTAAAAATGAAAGATACCTTCACACTCAACATTCTACACATAGCCCAAATGTAAATGAAATGTAAACATAAAAGCAGAATGCCTTCGGATGTTCAGGAAGTTATCTCATATCTTCTGCATTAGCTCAGAGTACCTGCTTTACCAGGATTAGGCACAGCCCAGAAGGAGGGAAGAGTCTGAAGGGTCCAAGGTCAGAGTGACTGCAAGGAAGGGCCAGGATAGGATCCAGCTTGTACCCAATGATGTCAGATGACTCAGGCTTTGCCAAAGCAGGACACAGTCAATACCAAGACTCATAATTCAGAGTTTCAGGACATTTTACAGAACTACAGGAGCAAATGCCAGAGGAGACTGAAAGGCATCCCAGTGTAGGTGTGTGTGCTCTGTGCCCAGAGTGTGTACACGTGATCAGTGCGCACCCTTTCCTGATTTAATCAGTTAATAAAAACCAAATCTTTGAAAGAGAAAGATTCTCTAGGGCTCAGAGCTCCTAGGAAGGGCAGCAGGAGATGGCTGTGTCATTTTAAGACACTTAGGAATGTTTTACTTTAAAACTTGTATATGTGTGAGAGGCAAGCATGGTGGGACACACCTGTAACCCAGGCTGAAGCAGAAGGATCACAAGTTCAAGGTCAGCCTGTACAACTTAGAAAGACTCTATCTCAAACACAGAAGCAAACCAACCACCAAAAAGTATTTTCAAATGCTTACATTTTGTAGACCTTAATAATTTATATAAGAAATCACATGTCAAAACAAAGTGTAGGGCTGTAGATTTAGCTAAGCGGTGCCGCATATTCCTGGCAAGCGAAAGATCCTGAGTTCAATCCTGGGTACCAAAAAAATAAGCATAAAATAAATTAAGAAGTAAAAGCTAGGAATGGTGGTGTCCTCCTGTAATTCCAGAAGTAGGGAGACTGAGGCAAGAGGATCAAGAGTTCAAGGCCAGCCATAGAGACCCTGTTCCAAAAACAACAACAACAACAAAAAAGTATAATATAGTTCAGTGTGAGAATCTGACTGCCTTTTCTCAAAATGAGAGGCACCAGAGGGAATTTCATTTTGATACTGGGGAAAATCTGAAAGGTTGGTAATGCTGAGAGGAAGCACTTCACCAAAAGCAAACCTTGAGGTTGCAAGGGTGGACAGGAAGTCGGGCCCTTTAAGGAAGCAGGTGAACCCAGGCAGAAAGGAAGGCGGGCCCAGGAAGAGGTGAAGGAGCATTCTAGGATGCAGCATGGTGGTACCCACAGGGGAGTGAGGGCCCTGCTGAGTGGCCATGCTCATCTGGGCAGGGGGAAGGTCTCACCATCTACACACACCTTAGCCTCTTTTTGCCTTTGCATAGGGAGCCCACTCAAGCTGCCCCACTTTAGGGGACAACCTGCTTGTCCTTCCCTAATGTCCACTCCTTCCCATTGCTTTTCTGACGTGATTTCCAGCAGAATAGTCCCTCACACATAAATGCAGAAATTGGGAACCCTCAGGGTCTGCCCTATGGTGTAGTTTTCAAAAGGATATGGATTTCCATGGGAAGGAGGTGTTTGGTAGTAAGGGGTCCTGACTGCTTGAAAGTGAAACCCATGTGATTCTTTCAGGTCTGTGACAAGAAGCTACTACAGAGGGGCGGCTGGGGCCCTCCTTGTCTATGACATCACCAGGTAATGCCAGCTCCCTACCGCAGAGTCCACCCAGTGCCCTGCGTCCTGGAAGCCAGTCTTGGCGAGGTCCCATGTGTGTGTCTGTGTCTGTGGGTGGGCAGCAAGATAGCATCCAGAAAGCCCTTCAGTTCTTCCTTGTGTGTCTTAGAGGGCTTTGATCTGGTCCCAGCCACTATTCTACCTTATAGAGAGGTAAGGCCTTGTAGATAGAGCAATCCTGTTTCACTAAATTTCTTAACATGATGCCAGACATATTCCTTAAGGCCCACAAAGCTTTATGCATGCCAAGACATTAGAAGTGAATTGTGAGAGGCAGAGGACAGAGACTCTGGGCTTAGACTGCCCAGGTTCAAGTCCCAGCTCTGGCCATGGCCATGTAACTCCACAGACACTGGGCCTCTGCTATTGGGGCCTGAATTTCTTTGTCAGTGAGACATGGGTAATAACCATGTAGTGCTCATGCAGTTACAGGAGGGTTTTTTTGTTTGTTTGTTTTTGGTACTGGGGATTGAACTCAGGTCCTTGTGCTTGCGAGGCAGGCGCCGGAACCACTGAGCTAAATCCCCAGCCGGTTACAGGAGGTTTTAATTAGTTAATATGAAAGACATGGCAATAATGGGCCATATGTGGCAATTTAATTGAAACTGGGATTGAGAAGTCAGTTCCTTGGTCACACGACTGCATTTCAGGTGCTCAGAACCACACATGGCCGAGAACTTTGGCATCAGGCAGTATGAGCACCCTGTCCTTGAAGGACAGCACTGACCCAGGGTTTGTGGCAGAATCCTGTAAACATGCAGTCCTAGGGCACTGTGAAGGGCTCCTCCTCCTGGGTATAAACCATCCAGGGAAAGAGCCTCACATGGCCACTTCTCTCTTGGCCATCCAAGTGGCATTGGTAACTCCCAGTGCAGCCCTCCCTGCCCTGGCCCTGGTGGCAGTATGAGGCCTATCCTGCCAAGGTGTGAGGCCATCCAGCCATCAGGGGTGCCTGTGCATCAATGTGGGAGGGCTGGAACTTGGTCCTGAGTAGGACAGATCTGGTCAGGTCCTGCTTTGCCAGTGGCTGTTCTGTGACCTTGGACTCTTGGTGTCTCTGGACCTCAGGCTCCTCATGACAAAGGAGGATGATAGCAGTCATTGTCACCAAGTCTTTAGGAAGAGAAGTCAGCATGATGAATTCCTGTGGGACAAAGCGCCAGCAGCTCAGGAACTACCTGGGTCCAGAGCTGGCCTCCCACACTCAGAGAGCCATAGACACCTGTGGGTGAGGGTATGAGGCTCCTTTTCCTTCTGGACCCTGGCGTTCTGTCTCATACAACCTATGGGTCTGGCGTCAGTGGGCATTCAGGGTGCCTGAGTTGTCTGGAAGGTGCTGTTGTCCTGACCTGAATTGTTGAAAAGGCTTGTGAGTAGTGAGAATGACTGGAAAGAGTTGCTAGTTTTATAAAATACATGTATTATTTTCACAATCTTATGTTACGCAGCCGAGAAACCTACAATGCGCTTACTAATTGGTTAACAGATGCCAGAATGCTGGCCAGCCAGAGCATCGTCATCATCCTCTGCGGGAACAAGAAGGACTTGGACGCCGACCGGGAAGTCACCTTCCTCGAAGCCTCCAGGTTCGCTCAAGAGAACGGCAAGTGCTTTTCTCCCTCCCACCTTCTCCAAGGGCAGATCTGGGCATGATGGCATTTCTTTGGGTTTAAAACATCTTGAGTTTGAGATTAAACTCTACTATAAAGCATATCTAGCCTACTTTCAATATATCGCATTCTGCCTACAAATTTACTGTATGGAAAAAAGCAAATGAATTCACATTCTACAATGGTCCAGGGTCTCTGAATATTAGGTTTTGTGTTAGAGCTTTGTCAGTGTATTTTGAAATGATGGTGATGTTTTATTCTAAGTAGAAAAGAAAGCAGTTGAAGAAACATTTGGTTTACTGGCTTTCTTTTACTCACATTCAAAAATGACTGAAATTTCTCTGAATTTCCATACACAAGACTGCCACTTAAAGTTAATGGTTGCTTATGGATAACAGGGTGATAAAGACTCAGACATTTTAGATAACTTTAATTATGAGAGTTAACCAAGAACTAGAGAATACCCTATTGTCAATAATTATTTGGACTCTTAAGACCCCAACCTGCTCTTACAGTTTGGTAGGTTCTCTGCTGAGAGTAAACAAGAAGTGAGCCATTAGGGTTCGTCTTTGAAGAGCTATGGCAGCACAGGAGGCAGGTCAGCAGGAGTGGCCTTTGCCGGTGAGAACCAGACACCAGAGAGGTGCTGTTATTCCCGTATGAGCAAGAACAGCTTTCCCTGGATCAGCAGCTGCTCTGGGACTAAAGGGGCATTAACACAAGTAAGACTCCTCTGTCCCATAGAAAGCACAAACACTTGGGGGTTGTGTTTGTGGTAACACATGGACCATGTGAGAAGGGCACTGCTGCTCCTCAGAAGCCAGCCTCCTCCCTGATGCCCACTGCTGGTGGAGCTGTTGCTGCCCACGGATCAGGGCCAGCACAGGATGATTGTTACGGTTCAGAGACAGCTTAGATGCGCCATCATTTTATAAACTGTACTGACTCTGTGTTTATAGAAACAGATGGCCGCAGGCCACGAGTTACATTTTCTCTGCTATCGTAAGAGAATGCTAAGCAGCCTGTTAATAGTTGGGTATTAAAATCATCTTCTAAATGTGGCCTGTGCCTTGTTTGATGTCACTTTTAGAGCTGATGTTCTTGGAGACAAGTGCGCTAACAGGGGAGAATGTAGAAGAGGCCTTTGTGCAGTGTGCAAGAAAAATACTTAACAAAATCGAATCAGGTAAATCTCTTCCCACAGTGGACATTCTTCTGTTTGTGTCACCCTCTGCTCCAGTGTCACCTTTTAACAAATGTAAGCATGACAGGCCCCACCCTGTCTTTACCCACCAACCTGACTCCGCACTTAAGGGCTTGAAAGTCCCAAGGCTGAATTTCAAACCACCACTTGCCATGGCGGTTTCTGCAGCTACCACAGGGAGTGGGCCCAGCTAGTGCAGAGAGCGGGGTATCGGCGGGAGTGGGTGCTCTTAGAGTCAAGTCTCTGTGGGGCCCATCACACACAGAGCCCACGCACACAAGACCAGGCCTTGGTCAGTATCTGTCTGCAGCATGCTGATCTGCAGGACTGGAAGTCTGTGTGGGGCTGGGCAGAGTGTGGGGGCTGAGGAAGTTGGAAGCATAGCATACAAGGTTGGTCACTGAGGACTGGGCGTCAGGAGCCATGCAGTTGGGAGTAACGTATTTCTGAGCTAAGTGAGAACATCTCAATTGTAGTGTGAATTATTGTACTTATTACTGTGGTAGAGATAATTTAAAATAATCCTAATGTAGGCAGCAAAGGACTAAGTCAATGCAATTTCTAAAGTTGATATTTAGGTTCCTTTCACCAGAATTATATGTGGCATTCACCATTTAATTAATGCAGTCGGATATCTGAGTACCTGTCCTTTGTCAGGCTGAGTAAACCGCAGCCCTTGCCCTCAGGAAACCATTTTTCCTGGCAGATGATTAAAAATAATTCTAATTCTCAGGATCAGTGGAATGATCAAGAGGCATACAGGCTGCCAGGGCAACATGGAAGAGGGGGCCCTTCCCCAGCACAGGGACAGAGGTTGCCAGGCAGGGCTTCCTGGAGGAGGTGGCTGCATGTCTAGAGGAGGGAGAGGCTGGGCAGATGATGGGGGACAGCAGTGGAGAAACTGAAGAAGGAGAAGCAACTCAGTCCTCACAGAAGACCTGGAGCCCCATCTTGTGGTCACTGGTTCTCTCCTGAGCTGTGCTCTGGCCCCCTGGGACCCTCTAGAAGTCCTAGCCCTTGGCCACACCTGGTGTCCCACAAGTCTGACACCCACTAGGTGTGGAAAGTTCTGCAGGGGGAGCTGGTGAGAATGAGGCGAGGCTACACCCCAAGGTGAGCCATGCAGGAAGCTCTGGCATTCTTGCAGGAGGGCAGAATTCTGAGTACAGGAGGGATGGAACTGAGGCTCTGTGAGGATGCAGAAAGAGAGATGACACCGCTGGTGAGCCCTGGACACGTGGGCGGCAGTGTCGGATGGACTGAATGGTACATAGGACAGCTTTCGGATGGGGAGGGTGACGAGGGTCGGGACTCACCTGGCAGGGAGGGGAGGAGAGGCAGGGATTCTTGGGGAGTTGAGATAGCTAGAGATAGACTGGGAAATACAACATCAGCTGTGTTCACTTGGGGGCCATCAGTGCCAGAGGTAGCTGAGAGTATGGAGTGTGGTCATCAGGGAGGAGCAGTGGTAGAGACAGAGGCATGGAAAGGAAGTGAGTGGAGCAGGAGTGACCTGCCTGTCAGCTCAGGACAGAGTCAGAGGTCATAAAGAGAACCCAGGACACACTGCCCATTGTTAATGCAGAGGAGAGGCCTCAGAGCGGAGGACCAGAGACCTGCATGTGGTGGGCACAGGGCGTCAGTGGTCACCTCTCTCAAGCACAGTCGTCCTCTCTAGTAGGAGGGACCTGGGGCAGTAGATTTGGAGGGGCTGGAGCTGGAGGGAATTCTGACCTGTGTAATTGCTGGGAGAGGACAGGAGGGAGGAGCAGCAGAAAGCGATGAACAAGGAAAGGACAAGGAACAAGTCTGCGGACAGCAAGGGGTCAAGGCCTGGTTGTCACCCTCGGAAGGACACCCCAATGTTTTGTGGTGTTCTGTTTTGTTTTGAAATAGGATCATGCTATTTATTCTAGGCTGGCTTTGAACTCACTGTGTAGCCCAGGCCGGCCTCAAATTTGCAGCAGTCCTCCTGCCTCAGCCTCCCAAGTGCTGGGATTACAGGTGCTCACCACCACATTTGGCTCTTTTTATTTTTTTTACCAGAAAAAAAAAGAAAAATTACTAAGCTTAGTACAAAAACTTAATTTTTTTAAAGACTATAAAATAAATATTTGTTGTTAAAACTGACATGGTATAGAACCTGACCAAGCTGCCATGAGATGTGGTATCCTTTGATGTGACAGGCAGACGTCATGTATAAACCTCTCCAGATGTATTTCTCCTAAGATCATCAAAACCTTAATTATACCCAGATAAAAAAGTATGCCATAAATTCCGATTCTTCAGCGTTACTCTTTCATTGTCATTGTTGAACTCTGTGTCCATGGGGTTCAGAAGCTGTGTTTCTTCCCCTTTATTGCACAAACGTGAGCACGTTGTCGCTGCCAGATCTTGGTTCTTTCACTTACATTTGCAGTTCATCACAAGTCTCCGTCAGGAGCCTCCGTGCTCTTAGGTGTATACATAACTCCAAGGATGGGGGGCTCGTATGTGGTACATGTTTCTGTTCTGCATGTTTCCCCGTGACTTACAGAGCTGGGCTGCCACACGTGTCTGGGTTATGGCCAGCATCTTGCTGTTATAACCATGCTGCAGGGAGAGACCTTCTCTGTGTCATTTCGCACAGGCAGAGGGTGTGAGAGATGGCTTGTAGGTTGGGACATCAGCAGCTAGGACCAGGTACAGGCATCAGCTTTCCTCCCACAGAGAAGCACATCACAGAATCCAGGGCCACAGGGTGTTGTCAGAGTTGGAGTTTTACCTACCTAGTAAGTGAACAGTGGCACCTCCATAGTTTAATTTTAAATTGACTTATTTTGCACACATTCTTTATTTGCATAATTCCAAATTGAGCATTACCAGAATATACAGAGAGTGGAAAACCACTCTCCAGCACCACGTCTCCTGTCTGCAGTCATCCCAGATTGGAAGTCAACCTTTGTCACAGCCCTTTGTTTCCTTCTAGAGATACTTAATGCCTGTGCACAAAAGCATTTGTTTTTCTTCTCTCTTCAGCACAGTGGCGTAGAGGCATGGTGTGTGCTTTGCTTTCCTCATTTCATGTATTTGGGGATCACAGAAATATAACCATTCTTCTAAAGAAGTCTCTCTTGGTCCTCAGGTGAATTGGACCCAGAAAGAATGGGCTCAGGCATCCAGTATGGAGATGCCGCTCTGAGACAGCTGCGGTCCCCACGGCGCACACAGACCCTGAGTGCACAGGAGTGCGGGTGCTAGGGACAGGTGGGTGCCTCCCAACTCAGCCCAGCCCAACATGCTGAGCACAGAACAGGGCAAGGGCCCAGGTGCTGCGGCGTGGACGGGAGAGCAAGACAGGGTTGTGAGTGACAGGAGTGGCTGAAACAGCCCTTCTCCCAGTAGCCAGGGAGAAGACATCCTTGGCTTCACTGAGGTCTCCATGATTGTGCCTTTTGCCAAAATAGAAGCCTCACTTCTAAGATTGGCAAGTGTCTCCATTTAACCTTTGTGGGGTGGTACTGGGGATGGAACTCAGGACCGTGCACTTGCGAGACAGGTGTGGCACCACTGAGCTGTACCCCCGGCCCTTCCATTTAACTTTTTAAAGTTTACTGCTTTTCCCATTTACCACAGTAGACTTTTACTCCTACTGCTTGGAGTAGCTGAGGTAGGAGGATCACAAGTTCACACCCAGCCTGGGAAACTTAGTGACTTAGTGAGAGACTGCCTCAAAATCTCAAAATAGGGCCGGGGATTTAGCTCAGTGGTTCTGGAGCCTGCCTGTCAAGTGCAAGGACCCGAGTTTGATCCCCAGTACCAAAAAAAAAAATCTCAAAATAAAAAATAAAAAAGGATTGGCTGTCTAACTCAGGGTGAAGGCACTGGGTTCAATCCTGTCCTGCCCCACCGCCAAAAAGTATTAAGCAACAGAACAGGTACCTATTAATTTTAGGCTTTAAATTATATTTATTTCTACATTTATAACCATGCAGATTTTTAAGTTGTTCTTAATATTTTCAGGTGTCTACAGTGGAATTTGGATACCAGAGCTGGAACTCAATTGAAGTGTTTTTTTACCACCATCTTTTTCTACTCTATGCAGAAGTAGATCTTTGTGGGGAAAAGGTTGTGTGGGTGTTATGCAATCTGGTATAGATGTGCCCAGGAGCCACATAATGAATTTGACCCAGTGGACAATACCAACAGATGTACACACATATGTAAAAACCTGCTGTCCCATGCTTTCCCTTTCACCTTCAGCTTGAACCATGACCTTGTACTGTGTATACCCCTGTACTTTTCCACTGCATGTATCTGGTGTATGATATGATAGAATATTGCAATGCAGTTTAATATTTTTTTTAATCATAGACACTGAAAATCATTAATATGAGGTTTGCTTGCTCATCATATTGGTTATATTTATGACCTGATATTCAAGGACTCTGGCATTAATAGCCAGTGTGTTACTTATTTAATTCTGCTTTCCACATTCTGCACTGTGTTTATGTGATCTACACTTGAAATACCAGTGATCATTCACTAACATCCTGAAATAAAGTGAAAGGCGGAGTTTCCCATGAACTGTACACTGTCTGTTCTTGGTTGACTCTACACTTCTACCCCAAGCAGCTCAAGTTTCTCACCTGTTGTCCTGGGCTGTTGTGGGCCACATGACTGGCACTGGGATTCTAGTGCCTTTGACCCATCCTGCAGGACGCACATTCCCCCAGCACTGATGTAACACAGTGGGCACATACACCCACGTGGCTTCTCTGCTCCAGCTGCTGATCTGCCTGGTCTCCCCACTAGAAAGCACTTGGTTTGCTATTGTACTTTTTCTGGAATTCAGTATAAGGGCATTGCTGCCTCTGTTTCAAATTGTCCATTGTATTGTGTTCATTTCAGGGAGACTCACTAATTCTAGTGCATATTAAAAGGGTACCATTTACTGAGAAACTTCTTTCTAGCTTTTGTTGAATATTTAAATGCCCCGCTACAGTTTCAAGTTGACCTGTTTTTAATTCACATAGAGTGTAGTGGGTATAATGAAGTATCACATATAATGTATCATAAAGATTGTCCTTATAGTATAGAATACTGATACAGGAACTATATAATGAAAATGTTCTTTAAAGCTGAAATACAGTATTAAGTGAGAAAGGTTGACAGCATTCTTCACTTTACAGATGTCCTTCAACTATGATTTTTTTTTAGCCATACACTGGTAAATTTAGCAAACATTTATTTAGAAGTTGCCTACTGCCAGACATGGTGGCGCCCGCCTGGAATCCCAGCACTTGGGAGGCTGAGGCAGGAGGATCACTGTGAGTTTGAGACCAGCCTGGGCTACACAGTGAGTTCCAGGTCAGTCTCAACTACATAGTGAGACCCTGTCTCAATGCCCCCCCCCAAAAAAAGAAATTGCCTACTGCTTTTGTTGTCTTATTTTAAGAAACACACGTGCACAGTGACATAAAATGTTTGTCTAAAAATAACAGTGTATATGTTTTAGATGCTTTACATTTTAGGATTCTTTTAATCCTGTGAATGTTTTACTTTGAAAAGTTAGATTCTGAATCAAATTCTCAAACTGAACCACCTCTGGGACCCCACTGGAGAGCAGTTCTCTCAAGGCCTTGCTGGCTTCTCATCTTGGAACAGCTCCTCCAGTGGGATTGGAGCATAGCAGTTCATTCAGGGAAAGAATTGTAAAATAAGGTATATTTAGAGTTGTTTTATAAGCAGGCCTGTAACTAATCCACAGATACCATATATTATTCCATGTTCTGTGACCAATAAAAGTTGCTGGAAAAGTCCCTGGTGACCCTTAAGACAGCAACTTGGTTTTGGGCAGTCTAGCAATAAATATGCATGTGTATATGCCACAAAATATGACATGTACAGGACGCTCTTACACTGGTGTTTTGGAAAAGTAATTTTCACCCATTCTAGAAAAAGGCTGTGAAGTTCACTTGAATGTGAGGTTACACATCTATATAGTCCAGCATGCAAATAAAAATGAGCATAGCACAGTTGGCAAATCTGCCACAGTTTTGTTGAAAACATGGCTCGTGGATTTTAGAAGAGTTGCTGAAATGGTAAGAACATTTATTCCTAGCAGGTCTGCAAAACTATTTAAAGAATCATCCCTGCCTTGCAAGTGCAAGGTCCTCACTTCAATCCCTGGTACAAAAAAAAAAAAAAAAAAAAAAAAAAAAAAAAAAAACAGATGCTGAAATTAGAAACTTAAGTGATTTGTGGCTTCTTCTATGACAGCCAATGGTGAATTCATTTCCTATCATCTTTGTCTTTTCAATTTGGAGGAGGGGGCAATTAGAGGAACTTTAAAATGCCTAAGAATTTTTTAATAATTTGTTGTATGATTATGGTGAGGTAAGTCTCTTTTGTGATCCACCTACCATATAAATATAACCTGAATTTGTTTTGCTTGCTCCTTGGTTATTTTATGGTTGTATTAACTTCAAGACACTGTGTTGAGAATTTTGGATGACACTATCTGGGAAATAAGGCTCAGCAGTCTCAGTACAAAGAGGGCAGTTTCTCAGCCATCACCCCTTGGGGCTGGAAGTATGCCTTTCCATGGTTAGACCATCTTTGATTTTCTTTTAAAATAGCATTTGTATACTTTTTCATTGTTTTATTATTGAGATTGTAAGCATGCATGAGTATAGAGAAAATAGCATAATGAGCAAAGGCAGAGTTGCCATCTGTTGGCCTGATGCCTAGCACCAGGAGGGACTCATGGAAAGGACAGCCCCAGAGCCTGTGTCTCCAGGGCTCAGTGTGAGTAGATTTTTTTCTTTTGATTGGTGAATTGAGACCATTAACACTGATAATTATATACCGTCATATCTCTGTCATATTATTTTTCTGTTATTAGCTTCCTTCTTTCCTTTTCTGTTTAATTGTGCCTTGCCTGGTGGATCCATTCTGTTCGGGTTCAGGGAGTTGTAATCTTTGTTGTCTCTTTCTAGAATATCCTTCAAAACACTTTGGAGTGCTAGTTTGGTGGTCATGAATTTCTTGAGGTGTTCTTTGTCATAGAAGTATCTTATTTTTCCATCAGTTTTGAAAGATAGTTTTGCAGGGTACATCAGTGTGGGTTGGAGGTTGTTTTCCTTTAGCGCTTGAAATACTTCAAGCTCTCCTTTACTTGAGAGTTTTTATTGAGAAGTCTGCTGTGATTCTGATGGGCTTTTCCTTGATAGGTGATTTGTTTCTTTTCTCTAACAGCTTTTACTATTCTGTCCTTGTGTTGAAGTTCTGGAATCTTGACTACTATATGCCTTTGTGAAGTTTTTTTTTTATCATGACTAATTGGAGTCCTATATGCCTCACTTACCTGTATGTCAAATTCTTTTTCCCTCTTTGGGAAGTTTTCTGCCATTACTTCTGATAATAGGTTTTTTATGTCATTTGCTTTTCCACTGACTCCAATCAATCTTATGTCGTTATTCTTTGCATCATCTAGCAGCTGCTGGATTGATTTCTCATGGTCCCTTGCTATTTTTTTTAAGTCTCTCTTTTCACAATTGCTAACCACAATTCTGTCTTCTACATCTGATAATCTGTCCTCACATTGGCTTATTCTGCTGCATATACTTTTGGTGGAGTTTTTACTCTCCATTGGATATCTGTTTGAATCCATTTCTTCATTTCTTTCCTATGCTGGCCATTCATGGTTTCCATTTCTTTCCTATGTTGGGCATTCATAGTTTCCATCACGTTCCTGAGCTCCTCTATTTTTTTTTTTAATCTGTATCTGTTCTGGAGTCACTAAGCATGTCTTTTATTCTGGTCACCAACTGTGTAGTTATCTGGGAAAATATTTTTGCTTTGAGTTTTTTGAAGAACCTTGTTCATCTGCTTTGATATTTCTGCTGTTACCACTTCAGAGAATCCAAGTAGGTGGCTTTCACCTTGTTCCACCTCATTGCCCTGGAGTTTGTCTTTGGTGAGCTGAAAGTCTGGGGAAGGGTCACTGTGTGACCTTTCAGGAATGTTCTGTTAAACTCTGCCCCCTCACAATAAGACTCTGTTACGCTCCATCCCCTCTCAAGAATGTTCTGTAACTCTCCCCCTTCAGGAATATTCTGTAATTCTACCCCCCTGCTTCAGTGAGCATGCTCACAAGGCATGTGTTTCAGGAATATTCTGTAACTCCACCCCTTTACTTCAGGAATGTTCTGTAACTGCCACACACACAACCCCCGGCTTCATTGAGTGTGCTTGCTTATCCTGTAGATCCCTATATAAAGAGACTTTCAATTCTGGTAGAGTGCTCAAACTCCTCTAAGCCTGCTGGGGCTCACTGGCACAATAAAGGGCTTGTCTCCATCTCTTCCAACTAACCACTGGATTCTCAAGTCTTCAAAGAATGAGAGCTGTGACCCAGAGCTGCCACAATGAACTATAAAGCTCAGCCATGCCTCAGAGGAGCTTCGTTCCAGAGCCACCACACTGAGCTGTAAGGCTCAGCTGTGCCTTCTGAGCTGTGGCACTTGGCTCCAATACTGACTATAACACTTAGCCATGCCTCTAAGCAGTGGCACTTAGCTGTGCCTCTGAGCTATGGCAGTTAGCTATGACACTAAGCTGTAACACTTGGCTATATAATGCAGAACTTTACTCTGTTGCAACACCTGCAGCCATGAGGAGTCCACCACAGCTGTTCTGAGTTCTGAACTTACGCCCTCTCCAAGAGACCCACTCCCCTCTTTCTTCTCCTCCTTGCACTGCTATATCCCAGTGTCAGGACACCAAATCTCAGAGAAGCTCTTTATCTGATGTTTACCACTCTGCTATCGTCCCAGAAGCCCTTCATGAAGTAGTCTCACTTTTAGCGTCTAATTTCTCCTTCACACAGCCCTTCTCAGTGATCAGGTCAAGTACTGGGCCCTGGAAGATAAGAGCCTGAACTGAAGATGAAAGCCTAAGGTGAGAGCCAGCTCATCCATAGCTGGGGGGCAGCCTGCCTTGGAGCAGGCAGTGGGCAAGGAACTCAGATTTTGTGACTGTAATCTTGTTCTTTTGACACTTTCTTATGAAAATTTCTCACTTCTCCCAGTTTTCACTTTGTCTCTTCAGTTTCTCTGTAGTTTTCAGTTTTCCTGTCAGATCCTTCCTGGTCCCCAGGGATCTACTTCTCTTTTCTCATCCAATGTCTGGATTTGGAATCCTAGAGAGGCTAAGTTGTTGCTGCTCACTACTCCACCATTTTCCTGGAAATTCCTCTGTAGTTTCATTTTTTTCTTCATGTAAAACACTAATTTCTCTGGAGATTCCTCTTTAGAAGTTTATGAATATGCTGTTTAATTGCCAATTGATTTCAGATTTCCTGGCATCTTATAACTGATTTATAATTTAATTCCATCATGGACAGAAACATACTTTGTATGATTTACATTACTATAAATTTGTTAAGGTTTACTTGTGAACCAGATGTGGGTGGCTTTGGCTGTGCTCTCCAGAACTGGGTGGAACACGCCCCCTGCTGGCAGATAAGGCCTGGGCAACTTAGTAAGACCCTGTTTCAACATCCATCCATATGAGCTGGAGATGTAACTCAATGCAAAGGCTCTGGGTTCAACCCCTAGCACTGGGGAGAGAAAGAGTCTTTGTGAAATGACCTCGTCAATACATAGTAACCCTCAATTCACCATGAAGACAGCATTGAATCTAAATAGTTGATATATTTGGTTTGTTTCATGTTTTGTTTTCCTGCTCCCCTTAACTGATTCTTTTGGATTATTTGAACATTCTTTTCTTCACCTCTGCCTCCTTCTGTGGAAGATGCCACAGAGTGCACATCTATTCACACTGAAAGTGCCTTCAGACATGGTCAATATTTTACTTTCAACCATGAAACATGCTTTGAAGAGCTCAAGAGAACAGTCTGTTATATTTGCCCAGATAGTCGCACCTCCTGTTGCTCTTTATCCTTGGTGTTCTGAGGACTCTCTAGGTACTGTTGTCTTCTGAGCCTCATCTGTTGGCAGCTCCTGTGGTGCAGGTCTGTGTGGCTGCCAGTGATACTTTCTGTGTGATGGCTTTCACAATTGTGTTTGGTTAGGGCTGGGAATTTAGCTCAGTGGCACCACCCCATAAACTCAAGGTCTTGAGTTCGATCCCCGGTACAAAATAAATAAATAAGTTTGTGTTTGGTGAGAAATGGAGAAGGGAGCACATGTTTACCCATCTCACTTAAAAGCAGAACCTTCTCTAGAATGTTAAATGAAAAGTTACAGAATGTGTATAGCATTATGTTTATGCAAAAAAATTTTAAATGAGGCCAGATGCAATGGTGCATGCCTAAATCCCAGCTACTTAGAAGGATGAGGTAGGATTCTAAAGTCAAAGTCAGCCTGGGCAATTTACCAAGACCTTGTCTCACCAAAACAAGAACTGTACATGTTCATCATAGATGATGATCATAGATGATCATAGATGATGAACATCTATATTCTTAAAATCTGCATGTTCACACAGACAACCCGCCTCCCCAGAAGGGGAGGAAAATTTAGACAAAGGACAGTGAAAGGACTTCCACTTATTAGCCTACACTTCTTTTGGAAGTTTTTGTTTGTTTGTTTGGATTTTTGAGACAGGGTCTATGTAGTTGAGACTGATCTGGAACTCACTATGTAGCCCAGGCTGGTCTCAAACTCACAAGAGATCCTCCTGCCTCAGCCTCCCAAGTGCTGGGATTACCAGCGTGCACCACCACACCCGGCTTTTGGAAGTATTTTAATCATGTACCATTACCTTGTAATTTTCTTACAACAGAAAAGATGAGAAATATCACAGTTCAACTCAAAGTATGTATTTTCAGAAGGTGTCTCTCCCAAGACATATGCAGCATACCTTGCTAAACATTTATCTAATTAAATCCATGTAGGATTTGGCATGACCACTTTCTTCAAGCCACTTATGCAACAATTATACTTTACAAAATAAGTCTTAAGCTAGCCATGGTGGTGCACACTTACAATCACAGCACTCAGGAGGCTGAGGAAGGCTGTCACAAATTCAAGGCCATCCTGGGCTACACAGCAAGACCCTGTTTTGAAATAAAATAAAAACAAGATAGGGCCGGGGATTCAGCTCAGTGGTTCTGCCACCTGCCTCACAAGAGCAAGGACCGGAGCTCAATCCCCTGTACCCCCCCCCAAAAAAAAAAAAAAAAAAACAAGATAGCTAGGCCTAGAATGTTAATTAAGTTTATTCACTTTTCCCATATACAATATTAAATATAAGCTAAAAACAATACATAGTTCTTAGAAAATACAACCCAATGCCCCCATTGTCTGAGCTTTGTAATTATAATGTACTCAGCCTTTGTTCTTCTAGAATTTTAGTGAATGTGTTGCTCAAAACAAGCGTGGAGTAACAGGAAACCTCCCCTAAATAAATTTTGTTTTTATAAAACAAATACAAAAAGAGGCCTCTAATGTCTTCATTCGGTTATCTGGAATTTCAAAATGGAAATAATTACTCAAAGAGAAAGCAGTGCTTTCCTCTCTAACACTAGCAAGGCAAGATAAATTTGGGCTGAAACTCCAAACAAGGGTTTGTTATCAATCACACTTACCCTGAATAACTCCCATTCATTTTGTTGTACAAAGACCCACTTCAAGAACAAGTATTTTTAAATGACCAACTCATATTTTTAGGATCACCTTTTTTTAATAGGAACTGATCATACCACACAGGAAGAATTTTCTATACGCCAGACATTGGAAAAATGAAGCAGTACCAGCTTCATCCAGTTAATTGTACAACACATGAACTACTCATTCCCAAAGTAGTCAAGTCACCCAGAAGCTTGGCTTCACTTCCAATATGTGCTTTGCTTCTCACCCTCTTTGCCAGTAACACTTTCAGATGCTGTAAGCACCAAGAAATCTAACATTCCATTTGCAAAGTTTATGCCCACTACAACAGTCAGTTTAAAGGGACAGGGCAAGATGCAACAGATTTTTTTCTTGGGAAAATTATACAGAATTATTCGTTTGAAATTAAGGCTACCAATATCCCAACAACCACTTTGCTTGCTCTCTTGAGACTTTAGTTCAGGTTCCACAACCGAAGTGTACAGTCCTTTTGAGTTGCCAGCAACTGACCTTCAATGAAACACAAAGATACTATACATGAAATGAACATGTGCACTGTGTGCAAGTCAGATAAGCTACAACCAGTTATACCTCAGCTAACTTTAAAAAAGAATAAAAGCTGGGTACAGTGGTACAGGCCTGTAATCTCGGCTACTAGACTGCATCAGAGGCAGCAGGATCATGAGTTCAAGGCTAGCTCCAACAATTTAGCAAGACCCTATCTCAAATTAAAAATATGAAAGGCTGGGGATGTAGCTCAGTTGTAGATTGCTTGACTAGCATATCCAAGGCCCTTGGTTCAATCCCAGGCACCACCAAAAAAGTGGGGGAGCATGAAAGTGCTCAGAAATTTTATGGGGTAAGTGAGCAAACACCCAGGAGTGACATATTCAGACACCTTCTAAACAAGAGTAGTTAGAAGAATGGATTCATATTTTCTTCTTAATCACTCAGGTCTTATAGAGTGTTAGACATTATTACTTTAATATTCTATTACTAATTTTCAGGTTAAAAAAAGTAACAAAAAAAAAAAAACCCAAAAACATGTTTAGGGCAAATTATTTTAATTCAAAACTTAAAAATTTTTAAAGATTTAGGTAGCATTTCTTAAATTTCACTTGATTCTCAAACATTTTAGACATTTACCAACATGAAAGGCAATTTTGAACTATCTCACTATCTTGCATTTTGTCCCAAGAATTAGAAACATGATTAAAACCACATTTAATTCTTAGAAAAAAGGTATGACCATAAAATTATTAGAACTTTTAAAATTTCACAAATAATTTTAAGTATCAAAAGATAATTGCCACTCTTTTTTTAAAAAAGGGAAAATAAATATTAACCATTAAAACCACTCAAACTAACTCATAGATTTGTTTCAGAGTGCATTAAAAATTCTTCAAAAATTGTGTTCATTTTTCCTCTACTTAAAAAAAAAAGGGAGGGGTGCTCAATACTGTCTTCTAGTTCCACCTCCTCCATTTGGAGTTTTCAGTGGTAAGCACAAATGCAAGTCTGTCTTCTAAGCAAGCGAGAAAATCCAACTGTTCACAGTATGGTGGGGTTGGGTGGCTTGGGTGCCCATCTGTCATGGCTGTGCCACTCCCAACCTGTCAGACACTGTCAGATGTGACTCGTCCAGGATGGATGGTAAGATGACCTGTGAGACACAGCTTTACAGGAAGTTTTCACAAAACAGCTTCACCATCACAGGTGCCACACTCACATGATCTTCAGGTACCTGCAATGCATAGACTTACAAGGGTTAGCACCACAATCCACCAGAATTATGAGCAAGGTTGTATTGGACACCATGTAGAATTTTCTTATTAAATATATGTCTCAACGACTAAACTCTCTTCATGAAGGGACTATGCAAAAATTCACAAATATTTTAAAGGGTTTGTTTTTCCTTAAAGCCTCATGATCCTTCAGTATGCATTTTTAAAGTTCAACAGTTACAAGACAGTGTGACAATATTATGTGAAATGAAACCAGCTTGTGTTCTGAAAATTAGCATACTTCAAATACTCAGAGTAAAAATATAAGGAATAAGCTCAACCTCACGCCTAACACTTAAGTTTTCATCCGTCTTATCTTCAGGTGCTAAGCAGGCACAGGCATGGTACCTTTCTGATCTCAAAAGAACTTAGCACAAATCCTTCTAGGAGATGCTCTTGTGCAGAACAAGGAATACTCCCATTTGATGAGAAACCAGTGTTTTTTAAAAACCATTTTTCTATCCTAAAAGCAGCTATACTAAAGAGAAGAAGCACTATTTACACACTGCACCACTCTGTCATTAAGGTTTACCTAAGATCTACCAGCCAGGAATCAAATAGTAACGTATTCAACCTAAAGTATGAATATTGTACATCATCAAGACTTTGTTGAGTTCTGCAGAAGAAAAAGCAGAGACAGCAAGGGGGTGGGGTGGGTGTGGGCAACATCCCCAAAGGATGTCTTACTATTGTGCCTGCTCCATGGATCAAACAATTTCAGTGCATTACATGTAACTTCAGACTTGAAGTTCCCAATGTCATGGCTAGCTGCTAGAGAAGAGGCAATAGTCCACAGCAGGTGCATGCCAAAAAGACCAGACTGTACCTTGTGTGTGCTTAAAAAAAAAAAAAAAATCTTGCAATTAAGAAAATGTGACACTCTTTGACTCACAAAAGGCTTCATTACTACTCTACACACAGATTGCACTGCCACTCACTTACTGGAATGTATCTGAACTATTACACTGTTAAGTGCCTAGATGATAATGGAAAGAAAATAAGTGACCCTCACCCAGCCCAGATAATTTTTAAATATCACAACCTACATGAAAGTGATGTGAACTAAAATACAAGTTTGACTTCTCAGGATCTACTTAAGTTTCAGTTTCAATACAAACTCTTTGATACTTTTTTTGCAAAGAAAAGTACACTGAAGTAAGTAAAAATGTCTTATGTTGCAGGATGAAAGGATCTTACTACCATGGCATCTGAAGTAAGTGGAACAGGATGATAATGGGCTCCAGCCCCTTTTAGAGGATGTGGGATGGTAAGCATCTGTAGCCAATTAAAGGCATTCGGTGTCCATATATTAAAAGATTAAGATGCTTTAAAACAAAACTCTTACAAGAATATCAGAGATTTAGGGACTTGTCTTCATCAATAACCAAATGTCTATGGCTTCAACTGTCTGCCCTACTGCTGAGGTAGGTGACCAATATTCATCAAAATAAAATAATCTTTCGAAAATTCCCTAAGAAAAGCCTTGCGTAACCAGTTGGTTTCTTTGACCTGTGTCCACTCTGGTTTAACAGTTTTTGTCTTGTCTTCTCATCTATGCCCTGGCCGAGTAGCATCGCATGTACTCAGTGACCCAGGGGTTGTCTGCCGAAGACCCCGTGGAGGCCTTGATCTTTCTGTTCTTCTCCACATCCACCGAGTGGGCACGCTGCCGCTGTGCAGCCAGTCTCCGTTTCTCCACCTGTCTTCTACTCTTGGCTCGTAATGCTGACTCATGAATCTAAGGAGAGTTCAAAAATAAAGTATAAGGACTTACGCAGCTTTGGTACTAATTTTCAAGAATATACACAGTGAATCTACCCATCCCCAGGTTGCCTGAAACAGGGCATCAAACCCTGCCTCTATGTTTACAAATTCTGTATAAAAGCTTCCCCAGAAAAGCCATTCCCAGCTGATGCTATTGCTCACCCATGACCAGTAACAGCAAAATCGAGCCACAGAAAATTACATTTTAGATAGAAGTCTTAAGCAACTAATTTGTATATACTTCTAAAATTCCTTCTGGGAAACTGCTGGAACTACTTTCCATAAAGCATGCATTAGTGTTTCATTAAGTGAAATTGCAATATTTTAAGTAGTACACAAAGCAATATCAAGGGATTTTATCATTCTTCATCCCTTGACAGGATAAATCCTATTAAATCAATCCCAGGAACTTGTCAGAGGTCCTTTGTTAGAGAACAGATTCTAGTATCAAATTTCACTGCAAATAATACCATCTGTTGAGCCCAGAGCCTATTCAGTGAGACTCTTGATTGTTTAATCATGATTCACAGTCTGCACCTCTTCTTCTTGCATCTTTTAATGCATCCCTTGCTCTGGATGTCAGTCACAGTAATGATGCATTAATACACATAACTGTTCCACAATTACACACAAGAAGATCCTCTCCTCTGAAATATTTCAGATTCTGACAGAGACAAGCTCCTGGCTGCAAAATGTATCCAGTAAGGACAAAAGGGAAAACAGTGGGATTTGCTCAGAAGAGCAAAAAGAAGACTCCAGTAGGTGTCAGGCAACGAGAAGCACCAACAATAAAAGAGTCAAGGGTGCCAGATCATCAAAGCTGAAAGAAATGAAGACCTCTCAAGAGGCCAGTGGCAGATCCCAGCAGGCAGCTGCTAGCCCTGGCTGTGCTCCTCCTCCGTACCTCTGGGCCTTGGAGAACTATGACATCACCTGCTTCTCCAGTGTTGGGTCAGTAATCCTTGCCAGCACCAGCTGCCAACCCACCCAAAACCCTTTTTCTCCAAGCAACCAATACCAAGAACACTCCTGCTGTTAAAACAGAGGCCTAGTTCTGGGTTACCCAGCCCCCATAACACTTCCAGAACAACCAAGGGGCCCCAGAGTGATGCCCAGTGATGTTCCAAGGGGAGAGCAAGACTATGGCCAGGCTCACCTCGTGCACAGGGGCAGATGCACAGACATTGTGGGTCTTCTGGCTCCCAGTGTCTGTCTGTCTCTCTCCCCAGCCATAAAGAGCAAAGGGGTGCTTGTTTTCTTTTATTTTACTCGATGACCTCTGGGGACTTTTGGCAGCTTTCCTGTTTCCTCTGGCGAATAAGGCACTCGGCTGCTGTCGAGGTTTGGCACTGGTGGGTAGCCTGTCTGTCTCTTCTTTGTTGGTGTGTTGTTTGGGTTTTTCTTCTACATCTTCCACTGGCAGTGTTTCTGAAAAAGAAAAAAGCAGGATGAAAATACCTTAAAATCTAATTTATACTTAATTACTTTCTTTGGGTTGAAAAATCATGTTTCATCAACTCAGCAACATTTTTACCTTAGGTTCAACTCACAAGTTTCACTTAAAGCAGAAATATAGAAACAATCTTACGTAATAACTTTTAAACTGTGAATCACATTTTAAAATCAATAACAAATATATTAACATTGAACCAAGTCTTTTTTTGGGGGTGGGTACCAGGGATTGAACTCGGGTCCTTGCACTTGCAAGGCAGGCCACCGAACCGCTGAGCTAAATCCCCGGCCCTGAACCAAGTCTTTTCTAAGACCCCTGTCTCTCAAGATTCAGCATCTCAATGCCATACTGAAAGCACCCAACCCAGAGTTTACCTGCATGAGACCCCCACAGTAAACCCAATCATCCCATGCTTAGATTCAGGGATAGATTTGGGTCAAAAAGTGAGTTTTTGGTCCAGAGATTTAGCTCAGTGGCACCTGCTTCATAAGTGCAAGGTCCTGAGTTCAGTCCCTGGTACAAAAAAAATAAAAAGTTACTCAACTTGAGTTCCTGAATCTCATTTCTCTTTGACGTTCCATGATTATAGAAACCACTTCTCATCTGCTCCTCCTAAAGGCTGACGGGCCACTCTAAATGGGCAGGCCTTTGTCACAACGGGGAGCAGTCGCCACAGTGACCCCAGCTCTGCACCTCCAGGATGAAAAGCTGAGATGCAAAAGGAGCTTGCTCAACACTTGGACGTGACCAACTCTGGGATTCAGGACATGATCCCCACAGGGCTACATCATGTAATCAGTACTGGGGAAGTGGCAGAGACGGTGCGGAACCTGTCTACCCAGCCTTAGGTAAACATCAGGCATTAAGGACACTGCCCAGGATATCTAGTTTCCCCGATCACATTTCAGGATTTTGCCATTATTTTTTAATAACTCCCTTCTTTTTAAATAAAATATATTATCTTGTATAAACCTGTTTTAAGTCTGTTTCCTTTCCACCTAAACATGAATTTGAATTAGAGCTCTCAGTCACCCCTGCTATTACAGAGCCTCCCTCCCCACACCTGTGGGGCCCATCCCCAATGCTCCCAGCTGTGGCTCTGCTTCCTCTTGTTTCCCATTCTCTGAGGCACAGTGGACCCTATGTGGGCATTTTAGGCAGAGCAGCTGCTCCATTGTCAGCAAAGTTTCTGCCCGCAGCGCCGACCTTGACTCTACTAAACTGTTTCATTTATTACTAAACACTGAAGGCACACGTGACACACATCTGAGCCTGATCTAGCGTTACCAGTGTGTGTTCACCTCTTCATTCCAGCCAGGGGATGGAGTGCAGCAGACACAGATGCCAGGTGCCATGAGATCACATGAAGCGGGTCTACTCACTGCCTGGACACCCTCAACTCTCTTTGCCTGGCCCTGATGCAGGAGGAGGGAAAGAGGGACCATGGGGATCAAGGCAAAGGGAAGAAGGGTAGGGCAGGACCTGTGCAGTGAAATGATGCTGAGGAAGGACCTCAGTGGGACCACTTTCTTCTCTCTCCCTCTCTAGTCCAGTTCCCAGGGAAGCAATGATGACCTAGTCTGAAGGACAAGCCAGAGCTGGCTCAGAAAGGAGCAGGGAAGAGGTGCTAGGATGCAAGCAGGAATAGCCGGTTTAAAGCACAGAGTGGGGAGAGGATTACAAATAGTTTAAAATCACTAGTTCAAAGAGAATTCTAAGGATAAGGCCTAGAGTAAGCAGCAAGGAAGAAACAGAGACTTTCTACATCAAACTGAGGAGGTTGCTTGTCATCTGTTTTTTGTGGTACTTTGGACCCCAGGAATGCGGGGCAACATTCCCAGCCCTGCTCTCCAAAATAGGGCTAAACTGCCCAGTTTGGCCTCAAATTTGAAATCCTCCTGCCTCCAAGAGTTCTGAGATGACAGGGATGTATAACCATTCCCAGCTCAAACTCAGGAGTCTTCATTTTATCTGGATAATAATGGACAATCACTGAAGAATTTTAGGTTGAGAGATGATGTGGTCCTGTTTGCATTTTAGGAAGGAAGCCTTAGGCCTCAAACTGCAAACACAAAGGATGGGTTTGATCAGCCAGTGAGGTACACAAACCAGCCAGGCAAAAATGACAAACAGTCTGGGGGTAGCCAAGAGTGACAGCAGATGGTCAGGAGCGCAGGGATCAGAACAGTGCTCATAGGCACCTGGGCCCTTGCAACCAACACCTGCCCATGGGAGAAGGATACTTTAATGGGGCTCCTTGAGAGCAGGTAGCCCAGCAGCACTGAGCTACACTGACAGGTGAACTGATGAGACACCATGTGGTACCATGGACAAGAAGGCCTGAAGGTCCCTAGGTGTCTTGGGCAATTGTCATAACGCCCTCTCAGGGTGGAGCCACCGAGCAGGCTGGAGCAGGCCGTGGAGACAGGGTCCCAGACAGAAGCAGAGCTCCTGGTCCAGGCAAGGCCACACAACAAAACGTGGAGCCAAAAGTGAGAGGGTACCGTCAGGTCTCTGGGAATATCTTATTTCACAGGGGACAGAGAAAGGCCCCACGGAGGGGCACAATATCCAGAAGAGACCTGAGGACAGAGTTTCAGAAAAGGAAGGAGCAGTTAACCACTCTAAACATCACAGAGAAGCCAAAGTGATGAGGATGAGCAATCTTTGTACCAGGTCACAAGTGGAGAAAGGGATGGAAGGGCAGGGACCACAGGGTTGAGCAGCAAACAGAGGACATGGTAAGTCAGACAATAACAGGCCTCTGCACCAACTCCCCTTGGGATTACAGAAAGCCAGAATGAAATACAGAAAGCTGTCCCAGGCTAACACTCCCTGGTCCCAGCACAGGACTTAAAGTCATCTCCTGTAAGTCCCTAGGCCCCATGTGACTCCACAAAGGCTTTCCAAACACAACTGCCAGGCACACCAGGGAAGAAGGCAGGAAGGGGGCAGCAGCTGGAACAATAGGCTTGAGATCCTGAAATTATCATCTGTAGGCTGAAATAAGCATGCTTGTCCTAGTACCTAAAGAAAAAGACACACTTGAAAATTAACTGCAGTAAGACATAAAGATGGAAAATATAGAAGGAAAAAGGTGGAGTGTATCACTGTAATTTTAATATTTATAAACGCTTAAAATAGTGCCTGGTACACAATAATTACATATAAGTATATGTTTTCAAAATCCTAGTTGAAAGAATGATGTTTAAAATAAAGATTTTTTTTGAAGAAAACAAAGCCAGTATTTCCCACTAGTTATGGTAGCCTCTCTCTCAGTAACTGATGGAACATACAAATAAAAATAAATTCAGTTTAAAAATTAATTCAATCTTGACTTAGAATGGCACTGCCCAATACAATACCCACTAGCCACATGAGACTATTTAATAAATTTAAATTCAGTAGTTTAATTTAAATTTACTAATTAAGTTTACATTCATTAAAAATACATAAAAAGAAAGATCCAATTCCTTGGCTACACTTGTCATAGTCAAGAGCTCAATGACTACATGTTGGCTGGAGCAAACAGATGTGTCCTTCATCACAGGAGTTCTATTGAACAGTCTGAGTTTTTAGAAAATACCAATGGTGACATCCATGGCTCACATGCAAATCATATTTACCTAGCCTTAATTCATACAATGAACAGCAATTACATAAAAACAGTTACAGAGTTAGTACTGCAGGGATCAGGACTAGGATTGGTGTTGGTGCATATTAGCAATGGAACAGAATGGCAGACCTACAATCATGAGCTAAGCCTTCATCTCCTATAAATGAATTCGTATGTAATGTTTAAAATCAAAAGGCCTTCAAGGCTGGGCGTGGTGGCACACACCTGTGATCCTGTAATCTCTGGAGGCTGAGGCAGGAGGATCGCTGTGAGTTTGGGACCAGCCTGAACTACATAGTGAATTCCAGGCCAGTCTCAACTACATAGTGAGACCCTGTCTCAAAACAAACAAACAACAACAACAACAACAACAAAAGCCTCTAGGCATGGTGGCACATTCCTATAATCCCAGCACAAGGGGGTCGTGGGCAGGAGGATCACTGCAAATTTGAGGCCAGCCTGGGCTACATAATATATTCAAGGTCAATTTGAACTACACAATGAGACCCTATCTCAAAAAAATACAATAAAAAATCAAAAGGCCAATTAATAAGTCTAAATGAGAAGAGGCTGGTCAGTGCTAAAATAAAAGCCAGAAAGAGTTGGAATGAGTAAGGGCCATGTGTAGAGAAGGAGATAACATTTTTGTTCATTTTAAGCACACTGCTTAAAATTATGCACATGTAAACTTTTCTAAAATAAAATTTAATCTAAAAAAAGGGCTATGAAGTAAGGAATTGAACACTCTAGAGCACTCTTTAAAGCATATTGGCTATGGGAAAGAGTTCCACATCACCAAGTAATGCCATCTCCCACACACCCACGCACACACCTTCCAGAAAGCTTTTTGTGCCTGTCTCTTAAATAAGGAGAAGCCAAGAATCATCAACCATTTGAAAAAAGCCTTGAATATGGCAATGCAGAATTACAAGCAAAAAGAAAAAATGGGGGAGGGGGTGAAATAGACTATGCTTGAAAAACTGAGAGAAGAAAATGATCTAGTAATATCCTCAGCAAAAGATCTATGTACGTGAATTAAGAAGCATACTCTGTTTTTAAAAAGAAGGTGGGAAGGAGGCAGGGAGGGAGGAAAGGAGGCAAGATCAAACAAATAGGAGCCCACAAATGAAAAATGTATGACAAATTGGAAGAAATGATTCAGAATATTACCCAGAAAAACAGAACAAAAGGACAGATGGAACGTGGGAGAGAAAAGAAACTAGAAAATTAGAGAATATATTCATAAAGCCTAATATCCATCTAAGATCCACAGGAAGAAAGGAAAAAACAAGTTATACATGTGACAAGGGTCAATATCCGAAAAACTCCAAATAGTCCACTTTTAAAATTGGAACCAACCCTAAACAGATACCTCTCAAAAACAGAATTATGAAATCCCAGCACTCCGGGAGACTGAGGCAGGAGTGTAAGTTTGAGCCCAGTCTGAGTGACTCAGTAACTTAGAAAGATCCTATCTCAAAAACAAAATATTAACAATAATAATAATAATAATAATAATTAATAATAATAATGGGATGAAGCTTAGTGTAAAGCAAGAAAAAAAGGAAAGAAAGAAAAGAAAAGAAGAGAGAGGGGCAAAGAGGAGAAGAGAAAAGAAAGATATTAAAAAAATGCTGAAGGGCCGGGGATTTAGCTCAGCGGTTCAGTGGCCTGCCTTGCAAGCGCCAAGACCAGAGCTCAATCCCCAGGACCAAAAAAAAAAAAAAAGCTGTAGTTGCTAACCATCAGGGAAATGCAAACCAAAAACCACCTCATTCCAGTGAGAATGACTACTATCAAAAGGACAAAATGTAACAAGAGCTGCCAAAGTTGCAAAGAAAAGAGAACCTATGTATCATTTGGTATAATGTAAATTAGTAGAGCGATTATGGAAGATGGCATGGAGGTTCCTCAAAAAATCAAAAACAGACCTACCATACAACCCGATAATCCCACTAATTGTTATATGTCCAAGGGAAATGAAATTGTGTATAGAAGAGACATCTGCACTCCCATGTCAGTACTATTAACAGTAGCCAAGAAATGGAAACAATCTATGTTCAACAATGGACATTGAGAGTAGAAAAGCTGATCTTTGGGTGAAAGTAAGTAGGATCAAGAAGTAAGGTGTGGCGGCACACACCTATCTATAACCCCAGTCCTTAGGAAACTGGGGTACAGTGGCACATGCCTGTAATCCAGGACTCTGGGAGGCTGAGGTAGGAGGATCAGAAGTTCAAGCCAAACCTGGGCAATTTAGTGAGACCTTGTCTCAAAATTAAAAAATAAAAATGGGGCTGAGGATATTAATCTTCCATACTAGGCGGGAGGGGGAGGGGAAAAAAGCCTGGGCTATATTTGTTTTGTCAAAACAAAACAAAAAGTACTGTATATTTCAAAAAGCTCAATTTTAAATGTTTAAACCATAAGAAAATGGCAAATGCTTGAGAATATGTGCTTAACCTGATTTAAATATTACACAACATATTCATGTATACAAACATCTCACAGCACCCTATAAAAATGTATAATTTTTGTTTTCATGTATCAGTTTAAAATAAAATTGTAGCCAGGCATGGTGGCACACTCCTATAATCCCAGCTCTGGGGAGGCTGAAGCAGGAGGACTGCAGCGAGTTCAAGGCCCAGCCTAAACTACAAAGCGAGACTGTCTCAAAAAATATAATAAACTTGTACAACAAAGAAAAGATGGTCTGGGATGTGGTCAGTGGTAGAGTACTTGCCTAGAATATTTGGGGCCCCTCAAAAAAAAAAAAAAAAAAAAAAAAAATTTTAAAAAAAAGAAAAAGAAATTTTAAAAACTTCAGAATTAAAAACATGAGTTTTGACTGCACAGACCTACCAAGTGCCCAGCACAATGAAGGAAAATGGAACTACACCAGTTTCAAACAGGATGGACTAAGAGAAGACCTTAACAGTTTCCCAAAGTAATGACACTTTAGCTACAAAAGACATATAGTAAAGCAACACCTTCGGGTTTTTTGGTTTTGTTTTGTTTGAGACATGGTGGTCTCACTATGTAGTTCAGGCTTGCCCTGAATTCACTATGTAGCCAAGACTGACCTTGAACTCACAGAGACCCTCCAGCCTCAGCCTCCCCAAGGCTGAGATTACAGGCATTCACCAGCATGCGAGTCTCCACCTTTGGATTTTTAAAGAGACAATCACTTTTGACCCAGAATTCCACACCCAACCACAATTGTGAGAGTGGAATAAAGCTGTCTTCTATTGAAGATCTCAGGAAATCAGCCTCTAGCTCGTTCCTTTTCAGGCAGCTTGAAGGTGAGCACCGAAGGAGGGGCTGACCACAAGAAAGATGTCATGGCAGCCACAAGGCAGTGGCTCCTGCCAGAGAGATGCCAGGCTGTGCTGGAGGTGACATCGTCAGGCAGTAGAGCCAGGGCAGCAGCCAGGACAGACAGAAGTAGGTCAGAGGCCCCAGAGGGACAAGCTGAGATGATCATGATAGTGAACCAACCTGCTGTGTTGGCTGAAGGGAACAGGAATCACGAGACACAAGGTAGGGTAGCTTTGAGAAAAGCCAGTGGAACTGAAAGTAGTCACCAGCAAGCAGGAGTTAGGAGGTGCATATGGCTGAGGATCACCATATTTTCTCAATAAGCTGCACAGAAATACACGATTCTATGTGTTTAAATAGCTTCGGTAGGATAGTGTTTTGTTTTGTTTTTTTTAAAATAACAATTCCCAAAGAATGGTCATCACTCTAACATATAAAAGCATCCAGTTTTTAAAAAGCATCCACATTTTGAGCCGGGCGTGGTGGCACACGCCTGTAATCCCAGCACTTGGGAGGCTGAGGCAGGAGGATCGCTGTGAGTTTGAGACCAGCCTGGGCTACATAGTGAGTTCCAGGTCAGTCTCAACTACATAGTGAGACCCTGTCTCAAAAAAACAAAAAAATAAAATAAAAAATAAAAAAGCATCCACATTTTGAAAAAGCCTAGTGCAGTGGCCAAACCTGTAATCCCAGCAATTCGGGAGGCTGAGGCAGAAGGTTCACAAGAGTCCTGTGCAGACTGCCTGGCAATTTAGCAAGACCTTGTATCAAATAATAAACTAAAAATAAAAAGGGTTGGAGATATAGCTTGGTGGTAGAGCACCCCTGGGTCCCGCAAAAATAAAAATAAAAATAATTAAATCTTGTCCAAAGCAAGAGAGGGTCTTTGCTGGAACTGGCAATCTAAACTGTGATGGTGAGTTCTGAAACAAAACAGCCTTTCTTTTCCCTGATGCTGAGTCCACGGAGAGGCTCTAGTAGCTCCACGGAAAGCACACCAGTCACGATCTCAAGGCACACATCACAGGCAAACCCAGGTGCACTACGTGCTAAGATGCCGCCTAAACACTGCTTTTATACTGCAAGGTGGAATTTGGCAGCTCCTTCACGGACAGGGAGGAGAAGTCTGTTCAGCCTAGCACAGTACATCTCCTAACTTTGCAGGTGGCCGGTTCCTACAGGAGTGGCCAGGAGGCCTGTTACTGCTCCCTCCGCTGTATGTATGCTACGCTGATTTCTAGCAATTATCACCCAGACATCTGGAGGCCTTAGCGACTCGAGCGACATGACAGTAGGCTGCTCCACCACGAATGACGTGAGAACAGATGAACAAGATGAGCAACAGCGGAACCAGACTCACATTCACAATTCCATCTCCTCAGACTCTGCTCATCAATCGAGACTCCATCTCTTCATTTATAAAACTGATTAAAATTGCGGCGCTACATCTCACGACTGTTATGAACACTGGGTGAGAAAATACACATCTCCGTAAACTGCTGCTGTTTTTCCCAGCGTCCCTGCTTAGGGTCCGAGGACCTCGGGTCGAGGTCTGCCCAATCTGAGCTCCGAGAAGGATCCACCACACAAACCCCGCCAGGCATCCCACCCCGCGGCCGGTGGAAGGATTTAGGGCCCGGGCAAGCAGGAAGCGGAGGGTACCTGCGCGCTGACACGAACCCCGAGCGCAGGGGGTCGCACACCACGCAAGAGAGGTCAGCCCCGTGGTTCTCACAGCGAGGGGCGCGCAGAGTCAGCACCGGAGAGAAGACCCGGCCCCGCCGCCCTCCGCAGTCCTGCCAACCACTTAAGGGCCCAGCGGAGAGGGCGCCGGCGGGCCACGCCTTCCTCAAGCGACCGGGGGTGGCGCGTTCTCCGTCCACCAGGCAAACCAAAACAAATCCCGAAACTAAGCAAAATACGAAACAGGAAGCGCTAGCCCGAGGCAGCTAGGGGCCCGCCCGTCCGCACCTCGCGCGCCCCTGGGCAGGTA